TCTTGTAAACATTAGCAAGGAATTGAAACCAAGGACATACAGGATCAAGGTAAGCATGCTTGATCATACCTGCCCCTTACGGGGCTCTATTGCTGATTTTACTATTTTTATCCGTACTGAGTGATTTGTTGATTTTCTTTAATAGATTGCTTGATCAACACCTACAAAGGTGAAGTGGGAAAGTCTTGTTGCTTTTTTATATAACTGAACAAATGGTCTAAAATTGTGGACAACTTCAGTGCAGTTATTTCTTGTGTATTTGGTTATTTAAGTTTTTGAACTTTGAATTGGGTTGTGTTGTATGTCTCTTTGTTAACTTATACTAATCTGTTTCTCCTAATGTGAATAAGGTAATAAAACGCAAATCATATTTTACAGATAGAATTAGAAAGCACTACTTTTGGTAGTATTGTAGTTAATAAGCACCCATTGCTTCAATTGTCTAAGTGTGATCTTGGTTTTTAACACTGTACAATCCCAAGTTTAGTTTGTACTTTGTACACATGAATCATCTCAAGTTCACAACATTTGGAACCATGTGAACAATATGATACAAGTTCCAATGTCGTTTTGCATGGAAAATCCAGTGATCAAAGAATGAAGGGCTTTTCTGTTGATGTTCAGAAGCATATTTACTGAGTTTGTATCTCACTAGAAAGCTGATTACTTGATGGAATTGGAAGTTCATTTAATTTTGAATAAAGTATATTATTTTGCTTCTCATAAAAAAATAAAGTAGTTGTCTTGTGTTAATTTTTGGAATCTGTTCAGATGCATATACCATCATCCATTCCAGGATTTCTTTGTTGCTAATTTACGTTCCATGTAAATTATAAATATTCGTTTCATTTTTCATAGCCCATTTATTGTCCTTTGGTTCAGGATGGTTATTCAGTTCTTATTGCTGGGCTTATGAGGCTGGATATAGAAGAATCATCAGTAGATACTGTTTATGTTACAGCATGGGCATCCCCTTATCTTCCATTACACATGGGAAAAACCGAACATGCATGCACAATGGTAGAGGAACATTTTGGTCGTCAATTACAGGTATTAGCACTAGTTGAGGAGTGATGGTTCTCCAATTCCTTGGTTTTCTAGTCTAATAATCGTTAGTCTTATTCATTTTTAACATGTTACCATTGGAGATTTTTTCAACTCACAAATACCGATAAGCTCTCTATATATAATACCCGTGGCTTCTCAAGGTCCGACTCTCTATTAGTATAATACCAGGTTGTTTAGTTTTTTTTTTTTGTTTTAGACTTTTCCGAATTCCCTATTACTTTTTTCATTTTTTTTCTTCTGATGAAAAGTTTACTCAAGATTAAGAGATATGTATAGGCATCTGCCTTGTTAACTCCAATTTATCGAGCATTCCTAACTGCTTAAAATATTGGGCCTAGTTATGATGCTTCCATCCTGTAGGTATGAGACTAAAATCAAAGATATGCTTATCATTTAAAATATAGGAAAATGCATGATATTGTTGTATGCATATATAATTCTGATGCCAAAATGAACTGTTTCAGCCACCAATTGGAGAGACTAGAGTCAAGGAGCTTGGGAAGTGGGTGAGAAAGGAATTTCAGATCAGTGGAAACAGTTGGGATTCAAGTTCGGTGGATATTGCTGCTGCAGGTCTTGGTTGGTTTGCTGTTGGACTTAAAGGAGAGGCAGTTTTGAGTGTTTGGACGTATGATGGTATTGACATTGTTCTTCGCAATGCATTGCTTCCTAATAGATCATACATTTTTGAAGTTGCTGGTTTTACAGTCTCTAAAATTGTCTCTAAGGCTGACCAAGCTTCAAATAAGCCGCACCACCGAAGTGAGAAGAAGAGGAAACAAAGTGACCAAAAGGAATCTGTTGCTTGCTGATTCATCATATTAACAATTGAATCTGGTAAAGGATATGTGGCAGTTCTTATCAAAACAGGTGAAAGTGTTGTAACAATTTATGGTTGATAATACTACAGGTGAGAAATGTCGAGTAAACAACATCAACCTTTTATTAGAATGACAAAGCTAGGCGTCCTATTTGAGCCACAGATGAAATGGTTGATGCTTTCTCTGACTATAAGTGGGGTGGATGTTCCAAATTGGAAATGATCTTTCTCCAGCAACTATATCAAGAACAGCTCGAAGGCATTGTTTTCTACTGCACTTACCACCACTAAAGTAAAATACGGCTTGCAAAGGGATGAACATGCCGTATTTTGAGTGAAAGCATATGAGAGCTAACTGTCTCATGCTCATTTGATGGGCCTATCTTAAAATTTCTTATTTATTATTCCTCTCTCTGTAAATTGTGAGTGTGAAAAGTTGAGTCTCAGTTTAGAGCTGTTTTGGTATGAAGTTAATGCTTTTTCATTGTTTTTACTTGGATGGCAAAAGGGCCAAAATATAATGACTGTTGAATGGTAAAATGAAGAAGCATCAATTGAAAAAGGCAAGCCACACAATGCTTAATTGTTGCAGACTTGCAGTCTCTGTTTGTGCAATTATTTCTAATTTTCCCAAAGATCAAATAGCTATGGCAAGGGAGCCAAAAATGACTAGATCAGTCTTATTCTTAATTTGTTACGCAGCCAAAAACAAGAGATATGCATATCGTTTGCTCTGCACATACAATTTGCGTTGGTGATCCAACTTTCTCCACGTGACAACCGTCACTCACTGTCTGTGGTGTGGTGTAGTTTGCATTTGGACCATTTTAAAATGATACGTAAAAAATGCACTGAAATTGAATAGTCTTCCAAGGGGTGCTTATATATATGCAAGAGAGTCATTGTCTTCTTGTTTGATAGTTGAGGCAAGGATCATGGAACCCACCAAACCCATATCTAATATTATTAGATGGCTCCCGTTTATGACTGAGTTTGATTTGGATTCTACATGCATCTGAATGCCCTATAATGCCTGGCACCATATGACCAATCTATTCTTGCTTTGCGTATTTCCTTACCGATAAGAAGGCAAATAATATCCTTGAATAATGAAATGCTTTAGATTTAGGTCATATCTGGGCTTGAACTTTCTAGCCAGATATCCAAAAAAAGTAAATAAACCGACAAAGCAATGATACAAGATGTGAAGAACACGTATATAATCCAACAAGTATTCCCTGCCACGATGTATATTATAATCCAACCTAGCTATAAGCAGAGAGTCTGCTACACTAATATTCACAAACCTACTCTGCTTACGTTGTGTTGTTTTAGTAGCCAGGCGCTACATGTGCATGAGGCCTTGTTCTAATAGTATATTCAATTCAGAAAGGAAACTTCTTTTCAATGTTAAGAGACAGTGAGACTAATCATTTTAGAGCAGTTGGGCATTCACCTGATATTTATGTATCACGAGTGCAAAAGTCAGTCGCTTGTGGGCCTACATACAAGCTTTTCTAATTGTCCATACATGTGAGTCACGCGGTGTGCCTCCATGCATCTACGGTCAGAATGGTGCAAGCGCCCACTAAACGTATCAAAATTCATTATAATAATATTGGCCAGTTGGTATCCCCAATTGGGCAATCTGAAATTGTATGTAGCATCATTTGACCTTGTATTCTATGATTTATGTTTGTCGTTTGGTCATTGGGCTATTGACATTATTAGCCTATGATTGATATATAATTGAACTACATTATGAATTAATACTTTTTCTTCATCTTATTTCTAATTCATTAAATTAATTAACTACTCGAAAACACACTAGAACATGTAATAATTAACTCATCACTTGTTGCCTCTTGACCAGCAAGGACATACCCTTCCAAAAATAGGGAAAAGAAACACGCAATATGTTCTGTCAGTTTGAATGCACGTATTGCGTGAGTGCACCGTCCTTCTTTGCAACAAATGCTTCTCTAGAGTATGATAAATTTTTGTATGTTCCGAGTTTGATGTATCATTTAATATATATGGGACATGTGAAAATATTTTTTTTTTTATCCTATGTGTATTGGATAATATTTTCACACGTTCCATGTTTATTGGCCAATTGAAGTACCCGAAACATATAAAAATTACTTCGAGCTAAAAGTTGTTAAAGCTCTGCTCCTATTGCTTCTCCGCTTCATCATCTTAAGATTCTTTCTCTTGCTGCCAATGCAAACAGAGAGTCCACAAGCATAGCGATTTTGAGTATTGAAGTGTTGCACTCTTGTTAAATTCTTATTCAGTAATTTGTTATAATATAAGTGAATATAAGGCATGTTCTATAAGAGTGTTGCTATTTCCACCATCTGTCCTATTTCCCACTCGTAGGTCTTGAGCGGCCTTGGCCTCCACAAATTTTGATCTCACTTCTATTATATTATATATAACATATAAAATTTGTAATAAACAACTTATAATTTAAGTTAAAATTTTCTCTAAAACAAATTAGACATGACTAAATTATAAATATTTAACTCTAAACATGTGACTATTGAATAATTAGGTGCTTTATATACTTGTATTTTCTACTTTGGCCCCCCAACTTTACGATTCTAACTCCGCCCTTGCAATCTTTCCACCCACCATTATTCCTAAAATATCATTTGATGTGAGGAGCATTTTTGCTCACCACTTTAACTCAAAACTTGACAAATGTCTATTACTATAAGTATAATTAATTTTTTGTTTTTAAATTTTTTAAAGTTACTTAAAACCAAAAAATAAAGTCAACTAATAATAAAATAACATTTATAATTATTTATAAAAAAAATCTCACTTTCTATTTCCCCCTTGGTAACACTAACGCCACGTCAATGAGTACCGAAAAGTTTTCTGACGTGCGGCATGCCACCGTGGGAGTTGCAGTTGGGAACTTGGGACCAAACGAACGAGCTAATCTTTGTCCGCATTGCATTGATGATTATCGAACCATTTTCTTTTCAAAATTGTAATATTAAAGAACATAATTATTACGTGTCGCTGTCTTGTGGTTTTTTTCTTCTATTTTGTGAAAAATATTAAGATAATTGGTTATATTTGGTGCGAAATTCAATTTACAGTTAGCTCTCACCTCCTGTTTCTTTTAAGATCTGCTACTTCTTCTTCTTCTTCTTCTTCAGAGAGAGAGAGAGAGAGAGAGAAAGACAGAGAGAGATTTTTTCGGAGCGGGTTAAGTAACACGGGTCGTGGGGGTCCTAATGGAGGGAAAATCTGATACGGGTGATGGTGTGAAATCGCCGCTGTTGGGGAGCGGTGGACGCAGTCGGCGACTGAGTCGTAGGAACTCATATAACTCACTCAGAAACGACTTCGTTTCCAGGCTCCCTGACAATGTTCGAGCTGGCCTCGACCCCGAGTCGCCTGAAGGCATCGACTACTCTCGAACCACAGGCTTAAACCGAGGTATCTCTCTCCCCAAAACTCTGTTTGGTAACTCAGAAAATGTAGGAAAATATTTGTGGTTCTGTAAAAGTTTTAATGCTTGGGCAACAAGTGTTCTTTACTTTTCTTTTTTGTTCTTTTGAATACAAGATTATTATGTTTAATTTGTTTTCCTTGGTTTTCTCTGCAACCAAACAAACAGAGCACAATTAGTTCTTGAAGTGTGTTTATTTGGTTTGTTAAGGACAATTGAATTGATCCTGTTAGTGCTTTAAATTGTAGGGGAGAAGGAATATTATGAAACCCAATTTGCAACACTTCAATCCTTTGAGGAGGTTGACTCTATAGTGCAAGAAGACTGTATCGACGAGGACGATCTCGAGGAACGAGCACAACATGAAAGAGCAATGAAGATTTCCAACTATGCTAATATACTTCTCTTGGGACTTAAGGTACTTAATTTGTCACTGCAATTAGTCAAATTCTAGTTTTTTTTTTTTTTTTTTTTTTTTTTTTTTTTTTTTTGTTTTGTTTTTTGTTTTAAAGAAGGCTTTTTGGGTTTGAATGGATGCAGTTGTGAGTATCATATATATATATGGTATGTTAAGAAACACAACAGTTTAGCTGTGATTTCATGTTGGCATTTGCACTGATAAGATAATGATTTTGGAATGTGTAGATCTATGCTACTATAAAGAGTGGGTCCATAGCCATTGCTGCATCAACACTAGATTCTTTACTAGATCTCTTGGCTGGTGGCATACTTTGGTTTACTCACCTGGCCATGAAAAACATCAATATCTATAAATATCCTATTGGGAAATTGAGGGTTCAGCCTGTTGGCATAATCATCTTTGCTGCTATCATGGCTACACTTGGTGTGTCATTCTAACTTTAGTTTCTTGCCCTTAGTATCTGTTGCTCTCTCTCTCTCTCTCTCTCTCTCTCTCTCTCTCACACACACACACACACACACACACACACACACTTTGTTCTTATATAATCCTTTAGTTTCAACTTTGTTTGTTCAAGTAAATTTAAGGTGAAGGAGACCAAATTTCTGCCTTATTTCAGATTTTGGTCCAAATCAATTGGCAGCATCAAAGATCATGAGTAATGTCCAATCTAACACAGACCTGAAATATTTTGAGAATTTGATCATATGTTCCTCTTTCAAAAACATGTTAAGATAATCCTGAATTGATGTTAGTTTACAACCTAAACAACATAAACAAGGATCAAGTCATTGAATTCTTATAACATCTGATTGACACTTTTCTACAAGAACTGGAGCAATAGAGGTTTATGGTTTATATGTCTTACTGTCAGAGTGTAACGCAAAGAAACATTCCCTTCATGTGCTCAATCACACTTTGCTATGCAGGAAAATATATTAATTTTGAGGTGAATAATATGAGTCCTAGAAATTTCTTTGTAGTTATAACAGTGTACATGATGTGTATACTCAAAAGAACGAACTTTAGAGTCACACCAGAATGATAAAGGTATGCAATTAGGCTTGCAGGAAACTTATGCCCTTCCTTTTTCTTGTTCTTTTTCATTTCTTCTATAATTACCGGGGTATAATTAAGCCAGACTATGTTGCATACTTAAACTTCAGACCAGCTTAACTTTTATACCCTTGCAATTCCTTACAGGGTTTCAAGTGTTGATCCAGGCTGTCGAACAACTAGTTACAGATGATCCCACTGAAAAGATGTCCTCGAGTCAATTGGTGTGGCTGTATGTAATTATGATATTTGCTACTGTGGTAAAACTTGCACTCTGGTTTTATTGCAGGAGCTCAGGAAACAAGATCGTTCGTGCCTACGCGAAGGTTTACTTAGCTTCTTTTTTTTGTTAGTTTTCTCTGAATGGATTTAAGGGCTTCTACTTTTCTAAGTTACCTTACTTCATTGAATGTTGATTACCAGGATCACTATTTTGATGTGGTGACGAATGTAGTAGGATTAGTTGCTGCTGTTCTTGCTAATAGGTTCTACTGGTGGCTTGATCCTGCTGGTGCTATTCTCCTTGCTGTATACACGATTGTAAATTGGTCTGGAACTGTTATGGAAAATGCAGGTATTTTTCCAGCTTTTCATCACTGCCTTTTAATCTTCCAAAAATCTTGCATGACTTATTAAGATGGGGGAGTTCTCTCTCTTTTTTCTTCCTTTTTCCTTACTATTCAAGTTGCTTCTACATAACCAATGGTCATGCTAGCTTTGCAGGGTTGCTAGTTGCGTGGTCAATCCCTTTATATCAACTCGGAGACCAGTTGTGAATTGGAAAATCTTCTTGTTTTCTTGAGTGTGCATATTATTGTATCTTATTGGATGAGTTGAAAATATGTTCTTAATGATGCTTGACAGTACGCATTTGATAAAGTTTGTACTTCAACTATTTAACATGTGATCTGAAACATGCAGTTTCCCTCGTGGGACAATCAGCCCCTCCTGAATTCCTACAAAAACTGACATATCTTGTCATAATGCACCCTGAAGTGAAGCGTATTGACACAGTTCGTGCTTACACATTTGGTGTTCTTTATTTTGTGGAGGTTAGTCATATCAAACACAATTTCGATCTTAAATTATCATGATGGAAAACTTGTCACACGTTGTTATGCATACTGCATTCTATAACAAGAAAATAGCTTGAAAACTATTATGTTATTGAACAGGTTGACATTGAACTCCCAGAGGAGATACCCTTAAAAGAAGCACATGCAATTGGAGAAACCCTCCAGATAAAGATTGAGAAACTTCCCGAAGTTGAGCGAGCATTTGTTCATCTTGACTTTGAATGCGAGCACAAACCAGAACATTCTGTACTCGTCAAGCTTCCAAACACACAGCCCTGATTTGACAGTATCTCAGTAAACGGCCTTGTGGAAAACCTTTTAACTGTCTTCTGCAAAGGGCACTTCAAAGTGAGTGAGTATATTAGTTGGGAGGATGAAAGGTTTCAAAATCTGCAATAATCTATTTACTTTTCATACAAGTTATAACATAGAAGGAACTGAGACTGCGTGCCCTTTAAATTTTGGCTCTTATATATTAGGAAAGCAAATCAAGTGAATGGCTCTGTTTTTCTCTCTGTTCTTTTTCCATGACTTGGACACATTCCAAATGCCCTCTCTTGATCACTTTGAATGCATCTAATTGCCCTTGTCACATTCATATACACAAACAAATGCAAGTCAGATTTCTTCCTTCTCCAGTGTTGGATGTTATACAATGCTTCATATGTCCATGATTTGTTTTGCAGCGTCTACGTTAAAAGAAAAGGGCAAAAATCTTGTTCTGTTGCTGCCTCTTCCATATATCGAACTTCTTCAATTTTGCAGAATAAAAGTTCCTAAATGCGTGCTCTGTTAAGACGTAGAGAATATATTAAAAGTGCAACAAAATTCACATCCATTAAGCTAATATAATGTGCAGAGAGGAGCCCTGTTATGACAACACAATCGTAGTGGAAGGACGGCTACTATATAGTCTACATTATACATCTTTGGTTTCTTAACCCTTCTAAAATGATACACTGTATTGTACGATTAAAATGAATGGCACACGGCCAAAAATCAACTCTTTTGTGGGCAGCTCACGTTGATGTAGAACGACCTTGTTATGAGTTTGGCAATAGCCGACCATTGTACATCTTATCAAGTAACTGCTTTGCATCAGGCCTCCGAAGCAGACCTTTGTTGTTCGGTACACCAGTCCCTAAACAAACTGGACATACGAGTTTCCCGCGACCTGTCGACAACAACGGAAAATTACTCATCAAATAAAATACATATCCATACCAGTATGAAGAAAAAAAATACAATAAAAAAAGAGAGGCAAGAAAAAAGTTGTGTGCCAGTTGTAATAAAACACTAGACAATGTTGGTATGGGATGAAGAAGCAATGCTCTTCATTTACAACTGTAAACTATAATTTGCAATGGCTCTTAATTTTCTACTTGACTCATTTTCTGAGAATAAGTTGTGACAGAGTGCAAATGTCATAGAAGCCAAACGGAATTTTCTCCCTCAAGCAAACATGTTCCTATGGTACTAACCATTTGATGAAACAGAAATATGAGTACGGATGAGAACTACTTACCATAACAGTTTGGACATTCTGTAAACTCGTACACATCTTTAGCCCGTTTTCTATTGAGAGCTTTCCATTTTCCTGTACCACCACACATATCACCTAAATGAAAAGCAAATTAACATCTCATGGACGAAGGGAATACCATAGTAACATAAAATCTAAATTTATGGAAAATGAAACCCAACTAACATACGTTTCTATTTTGTTTTTTTTCCGAAGGCACACTATCCTTTCTTACATACGTATATATGTATAGGAGATCGATGGCTTCAAGAATAAGAACAAAATATCATTACACTCCAAGCAACATATCAACATCTAAAACTTCTTAACATAAAACAGCTAACACATGAAAGGAAGAAGCACATCTGTTTCTCCTCTCACAAGCCAAAGCATCAACCTCAAGTCATGAGCAAAAGAATTCTGAATCTTTGACTTTAACTACATACCAATCAGACTAACTACTCTTTTTACAAAGAAAACGACCAAAGAAAATAGGAACTCGCAGTTACCAAAAAGAATATAGGAACTTGCATATGAACAAAGAAAATCAATATGATACATTCAAAAAACAAACTTGAACAGTTAAAGTTGGTTTTCTAGCTGAACCTTTGGACCAATATAGTTAATGCACAATTTATCTGCACAAATGAACTTTTGGGGCAGAAATAGAATGCCCCAGAGGATTTCAGTTTTTACCAAGATAGTAAGTATCACAATCATGCCAGTACTGAACAAAATGTCATCATCATTTCCACTTCCGGTTTATAACTACAGAAATTATACTTACAAAGCACAGCGCCACTTCCCCCACAATTCCGGCAACCAGCTGGTCTCTCTTTTCCATCCAGTGCAAATGCCTTTGGAACGGAAGTAGAGATTGCAGAATTGCTTATCAAAGCAACGGTTGAACATAGGCATGTGAGACACCGTCGTCGAGAGATTGAGGCCTGAGATTCCTGTGATCACTGAACCTTTATAACTATATCTTGTTGAAAGTAAAAAGCCATTGCTATTGAATTTTACCATACCTTATAAAAAAAAAATATGATAAAACAAATAAGTTATTTCAGAAGTTCCAATGTATCACACCAATCTACAAAAGTTGAATTCTTGGAAAACAAAAAGTTCTAAGAAAACAGAACATGCACATAAAAGACGTATGATGTATCCACTAAAAAATTCTCTGTTACTGACACTGAGAATACATCAAAAGAAATGTCTCGAACAAAGTTGAGGCCCCTTTGCATCAGAGGAACTCATGCAAAAGGCTTTATCTTGTCTTGAACAAAAAACTAAAGCCATCAATTTCACATGGAGAATCATCTCTTGTGAACAAAATAGCCCATTTTTTACCATAAAGAGAAGGCAAAAGCAAGCGGTATCATTAAGAGCATGAATGAAGTTCAGCAGCACTTTGAGTTGAGAATCATCAAACAAAATTCATCAAAATGATATGTGCGAATGACATGAAAGCCATAAACAAATGGCCACCACTTATCCCCTTTCTCTATCTAATGCCATATTTTCTTGCAATCAGGCATACCTTCAGAATCAAATAAATCAATACCTTTGATGGTTTAGAAGAGTGGTCTGAATCCCCCGGACTGCAGCTGTCATTCTCAAGATTGGATCTTACATGAAACCCAACTGACTTTGTGTTGACTGCCAAATTGTTTACATACAAATGATAGTTAGAACCATCGCCCTTCCACCAATCATTGATCAAAGACATGAATCCGGTTTTTGCAACAGTCATGTGCTGCATGACAGATACAGCTAAAAGCAAAATGTTCACTGGCTACAACTGAAAGGGCACATTTGAATGTTGAAATTCATCATCTTTCTTTCTCTGATCCAAAGGTACATATTATCATCAAGCAGTTAATAGTCTGAGTAGATGTTAAGGCTTAAGATTTCATGATATTACCTTGATTCAATTCTACAAATAATATCAGTCTCTGAAATCCTTGTGCCCAAAAGAAAAGCAAACCACATCCAAAATCTCTTCATATGGAAACTCATAGCGCGCAGAAAGCCCCCAAATTTGAATTGAGACCAATTTGGAACACTTGAGAACAAAACAAAACCACAAAGCAGACCAGAAAAGACCAATTATTCATGAAATCTGGACGAACATTAGGTAAATTGGTCTCCCTTGTCTAATTTTTTTCCCCTAATGAAACTTAGGTACCCCAAAAGTAAACCAAAAATAAAAACACAGCAATATAGACAAAGCAAAACCAAGTAGTAAACAACTTGGTGAACGGAGGGCCAAAAGCAAACTAGCCCGTAAACTGCTTATCCACAAACCATGAGTTTAGTGCCGGTTGAGAGCTATATACAAAATATATATGCATATATAGTGGGCAACAAGAAACCGAGACCTCATGCACACATGTGAATGAAGAATGAGATAAAGCAAAATACAGCTACTTGAAATTAAGGACTGTGCATGGAAATGACGAGAAATTGGCAGGCTCATTAAGTTCGTTAATGGGTACTAACTTTTAGAGAGAGAGAGAGAGAGAGAGAGAGAGAGAGAGAGAGAGAGAGAGCTCACAGTGGCATGGTGAGGATTTTGACAGGCGTTGTGGTATGGCTGAGAGATGAGAAGAAGAAGAAGAAGAAGATGACATCCTCTCTATCTCTCTGTCTGTCTGTCCATGTGTCTTCGCGGGGTACTCTTATTTATCATCTTCTTTGCTCTACTACACACATATGCATACGAACTCACATGTCATTTTTTCCAACCCAAAAAAACAGAAAAAGGAACTCACATATTATTTCTATTTTGGTCCAACCCTCGATATTATTTCTCGTTATCTCTAAGGTTTAACAAGATTGTTTACTATAAAATATGCACCATAAAAATTTATAAAATGAAAGTGGGAATTCTAAATTATACTTTTATTATATCAAATGTAGGGGTGGGCAACAAATGGCTTGAACTGTACAAACTGCTAAATTAAACCAATACGAGCAGTTTAGTTCGATTTTGAAACAAACCAAATCGATGGTTTAGCTCTGCTTTGGCCGGTTTGAAAATCGCTTAATTCGAACTCAATTACATGTTTTTAAATTATTTTTATACTTGTCATTTTCATTGGTTGTTACCATTTACTATCATGTTTCATGCTACACGATAAAACTGATTATTTAATATAAAAAATTAAAATCCCTAACTCATTCGAATTTAACTTAATCTCGCCCTCAATTTCTTCATCTTCAATAATAAAAAGTTTTCCCAACTATTTAACGGTATAAACTTTCCCTCGTTCGATGTATGTAAGACAATAAATAATCTTTTACGATGAGAAGTTACCACTAGCAAGCGGGTCACAAAATGGGATTGGTTTGATTCAGTTACAGTACTAGTTTGAGGCAATCAAAACAGTGATTTAGCAAATCTAAACGGATTGGTTTTGATTCACTTTATCGCTAAGTACATTCGAGTCAAATGATTTGACCAAAAAAATTCGCTTAAGCACTTTTTTATTCTGAGCTTTGTTACATTTTCATATCATGGATTCGAAAACTTGTCCAATTTCTAAATAAATCTGATTAAAACTTCAAGGGAAGGAATCGGATGACGATGATATGAGGGGCATTAGCAATGGGCATTTTTGCATTGTGCAAACGTGAGAGAGTACACATGAGGAACAGAACACTGCATAATTTAACTTTAAATTACTGGCGGGATCACAAAATAAAAGCCAACTATACGGCTCATAAAACATTTATCGTACAACATAATCTGTGCTGCTGCAGCTAACTCCTCTCGTTCAACATATTTTCTTACAAATCATTATCAACCCAGAGAGGGAGAAAAACAAAATAACCAAATCTAAAAATATATTCTTGCCCGTAGCACAAACAAGCAAGATACAGATTCTTTGCCCATTTTTCCTGTGCAAAAGTAGACCAGAATTTAGAGTGAGGATATCAATAGTCTGATATTATTCTGTCTAGAAAAAAGGTTAAAAGAGTGTCACGGTCATTCACTTTAAAGAAAAACTTCATACCTTCACATGTGTGCTAGGAAATTGAGATGTACGCAAAGTCTCTTGAGTTTCATCACCAGGTTTGCGCTTGGGGACACTCAAGATGAGGGCTGCTTGATCCCAAGTTGCAGCTGTTGATGTTATCCGGAAACCATTATCCCAACGTCTGTGGATGCCTTCACTTGGATAGAGAAAATCCAGCTCCACAACCTATGAAAAGCCAATGGCAAATGAGAGGGTGGACACCAACTCGAAAACCAGAAAAGAAAAATAACTGCAAAATCAACATGCCTTAGCTATCATGAAATGCTACTGATCACGTTTTAAATACATAAAAAGTTGGCAGATCTCGTTGCCATTATATCTGGTTGGATGCACCATAAAATGGCCTAACGCAACCCATTTGCCACTATTTCTAGTCAAATTCAACCTGGAATAACAGTAAATATATCTGGTTAGCTTGCCTTTAGTCATATCCTAAAATATCAGTTTTATTTAGAATGGCCCTCACTAGATCAGTTGACACCTTGAAAAGATTCAATTTTCCCTCTTCTTATTCCCCATCCAACATAGATTCAAATACTATGACTCAAGTTTTAAATGAAGCTTTTGAAAAGAGTTTCAAGATAAAAACAAATGTTATTTGTGCCCCTCGGAGAAAGAGCAGTGGCTTCACACAAAAGTAGAAACACATTGCAGAGGGGCATATAGTGATTTGTAAAATCCACAATATCATATTATCATGCAATGAGAATAAAGTTGAGAAAGAGCATGATCATATGAGAAATTGAACTGCCAATGAAGAGAAGGCAGCGATTTCTCTGCAACCTGCTAGCATGGAAATATCAAATTAACACACTAACATTCCTGAAGAGATTAATAAGATGGGCACAGCTTACCTGATCACTGAAGCCAGCATTGCGAGACATAACAACACCCCACCGGCTCCCAGCAGTTGCCATTGAGGTCACATGAAATCCTTCTCTCCACTTCTTATTTATCCACTTGAAGGGGAAAGAATCACTTACTTTGTAAGACTGTTGCGTATACTGAGTTCCTGCAGAATTAGGGTCACAGTTCATAATCTACTGATTGAAAACGAACTGAATTGATGTGGATTTGCACACACATTCTGTCTAGTAATATCCAAATCTTTTTTCTTCTTTTTTTTTGGGGTACAAAAGTCCACTGTATCTTACTCTGTTTACAAAATGACAAGATCCACTTCATAAAGAAAAACTATGCAATCCTTATCAATATACAACAAATAACAACCTTTGGTCAAAAGACTCAAAACATTAATGTCCAACACAAACCCATCCGTCACCAATGTGGAGAACCCTAAGAGGTGAGAAAAAAGAGAATCGTGGTTATCTTGATAATAACCACAGCATGTATGTCCCACAGCCATTGGAGCTTTCTGGGAACTTTAGGAAGAGGGAACCTAGACCTCAACAACTAAGAAGAACCAACCCAAACACCATACAGCAATCCAGAAAAAGAAAAGAAAGATTACTGCATGACCAGATTAAAGTTACACCAATATAGCATTAAAAGAACACATTGCAAAGAATAGATTCATTCTTTCTTTCCCAGCCAATTTTTTTCCTCAGCAATCATATATGACACAAAACTTTGGAGCATATTGCTAAAGCGTACATTACTGATATGAAAATGCAATCTGGCATGACAAAAAACAGGTCCACATAGGTCATGCAACTTTATTCATTAACGCAATTAAAGTTAGTAGATTAATGCCACAACTAATCACTACAGCAGTGTACCTTTTGACATCACCACAAGGGAACTTCCATTATTAGCACCAGCAATAGAACTAATGTAATAGTTCTTCTCCCATTGTTCCATTATCCATTCCTGTGTATTCAGAACAAACAGTCTGTCAATTTTTTGAGGAGTAAACATCTTATATGAACATAGACAAGCACAGGAATCCACCTTGTGCAAGAAGAAGGGTGAAAGCTCATAAACTTGGTTTGTAAAACCGGTTCCGGCATCCATAATAAGTGCCCAGAGATTAGAACAAGATGACACACAACTTATAAGCAGACCGTCTTGAATCCCTCTCTCCACATGTTGTGCCAACCTTGCATCAGCGACATTGTAATGATACCTAGTAATAAAAGATGATCAAGCCACGAGGAAAATTACAGGCAGGGATTCTTATTCAAATCATTTTTCCCTTTGATATGCAAGGAAAGAATGAAACTACACTATATATTGACCCCAAAAAAAAGTACAATGTTGCAAAAAGAATTTCTACCTCTGTTTCATCGGCATCCGAGCATTGTAAACTGAAATCCATTGTGTGGCAGGTACCCCTAGCCTAACTTTCTTCCTTGGCTGGCCATCATCATCTTCCTCAATATTCAATCTACCCCGTTTCTGGCCAACCTGACTAATAATCTAAAACAGTTCGCAATAAATTAATTTATAAGCCCAATGAACAAACAAAAGAAAGCTTTATATATTACAATATCCTAAAATACCTTCTGAGCGCCATCAATTTTGATTGGCCTTACAGCAGGATTTGATCCTATCAAACTCTCAAACAATGATATTAGCTTCGAATAGTTAGGCTCTTCATCAAATTTCATGTTCACCACAACCTCAAGAAATTGCCTTAGAGGTGGGGGGCAGAAGCAGCACAGCATTTCGGGAGATGTTGCCATCTTTTTTTTGCAAACTAGGAAAGATTTGTTATCACCCTGAAACAGGACCAAGTACAGTGCAGATAAATTTCATAATAAATCTCAATAAAGGAGAGTAAATCAGACTCTAAAATTAATCCCTCTTATATACCTGATAGCCCTGCCATGGTAACCTTCCCCGGTGGAGAAAAATGAGTGTATAAGCAAGAGATTCAAGATCATCTCTTCTACTAGCAGTTCTTCCCAAGTGAGCATGAACACTAGCATATCGAACAGTTCCTCTGGAGGTGAAACAGAAAAGATTTTAGGGCTAAAGATAGAAGAATTAGACTGAATACCATACCCCAAAAAATGCAGATATTACTTCACCTAAACATATCAGGACGTTGATCATAATCAACATGACCCCCATTAGTGTCTTTCCACTTTGTCGCTGTACAATCAGGTAATGAAGAAGACATAAGAAATGTAAGTAAATGAAATACCTGGAGAGAAGCCCTACAGATGAAAATAAATTAACTTACCTAGTCCAAGGTCAACAAGAAACAATTTCTTCTCTTGAGCCGTAGATGGCTGACCAAGTAAAAAGTTTTCTGGCTTTACATCTCCATGCACATAGCTAATGTCAACAAGTCATGATTTGAAATAAGTTAGAAATATAATAAAAAATTATTTTTGAAAGAAACAAAAAGCAATAGGATTGAAGAAATTTTAGTATTCATATTAATCCACAAGATTGGGACAACCAACACCAAAAAGTGAATAAAATTATCTGAGGCTGCATTGACATACCCTCTTGAGTGCATCTTCTCTAGAATTGATAAAGACTCGACAGCTATACAAGCTACCATTTCTGCAGACATCCTGTGTTCATTGGATTCAAACATAAACGAAAAATATAAGTAAAAATCTTTCAGAAAATTGAAGTCCAAGAATAGAAGAACATATGTGTGCTCTTCCACTTCAAAAACAGTTGTGAACAGATACCCACAGACTGAATC